AATCTTGTTGTGTATGTATGCCTTRCAACTTCTCAAGTTATCTATGAACATATGAGACCACACAAGTCATTTATCCTCGACTGGGAGATATCGGTGAAAGGGAATACCTTGAAGTTGCCATTAGACAAGCATGTCAATGTCAGTTCTTGATTGCTCACCATTGTCTGCATTTAAATGTAATTGGATTTGAGAAATAGATATTGGAAGAAGAAGAATCTGGCAATGCAATTATGCAGCTACCAGATTGCATAGATTTAATGGACATACCAAGTATTATTGAACATGCTCATTTTGTTTTTTCAAGCATGCTGTTTTAAACACAGGATTTTACACTATCAATATCAAACGAATAAAGAGTCTAAGAGGAACTGATTGTTCTACTCAGAAACATAAATAGAGAAACTTTTGACAATAAGAACCATTAACTTTTTACCTTGCTCTCTCTCTGATATGGGAAACTCTACAATATTTAAAAGCTAGGTAAGTGGTCACTGTAGTTCTATTTCATGACACGAAAGACTTCTTATCTACAGCATGTTTCTTTGACCGTACCGTTGGACCAATTATTGGTGGTTGGTTACTTTATTGTGAGATGACTAACAATAAAGAACAGCAATACAGCATTTTCTTTGTGGGGCTTATAGATAATATTGCAGTTGCAACAGAGGATATGTTGATCAATCTTTTCTGTTTTTGACTAGTTTCCGAGTGTAAACATAAATTAGAAATGATATAGAATGCATACCGCACAAGAAAATGCCACATCCTTGCAGTGCCATTTCTTGAATGGAACACAGTCGATATAACGACACCATATGCAATACTGGTTCAAGTCAAATTCAAAAATAACTCCAACTAGACATCCGGAAAATCTGCATATGGGGAAAGCTGCATGAGTTAGATTTCAAATAAAGCCAAAATGACAACAAAAATTAAGATCCCCGACCCCCACAGAGTCTCATAAACTATAGAGTATTGTTAAGTTTCAGAGAACTCACAAAACAGCAAAGAGAAAAAGGGATACACTTCTCAGGATCGGTTTGTCCAGCTTCTGTTTCATCTTCAATTTCAAAGAGTTTTTGAAACTATAGCTCAAAGAGTATCCTTTAGTTTGAGCTTTTTCTTCTCTATGCTGCAGAGTGAACAAAATCATGAAACCGAGAAGGAATCCCGACACCAAGCCTCCAACATTTGCAAAATTGTCTATATAAGGTAGCAGACCAAGTCCGAAATTGATAGTGAAGACAACAAGAACTGATCCCAGAGCTAAAACCTGTGATAAAATAAAGTCGAGTGAGCTACTCTACAATCAGATTATCTAGAAAGGACAAACGTAAGAGTGGGAAACAGTGTGAGTGAAATACTCTATCAGTGTAGAGTTTCCAGTTCCTTATTATTCCAGAAAGCACAGCTCCAAGCAAACCAAATAGAGCTCCAGATGAACCAACGGACGGGCTATTTTGAACAAAAAGTGCAGCCACCAAGGTGCCAGTGAAAGCAGAGAGTAGATATATAATCCCGGTCCTTACTGCTCAAAAGGAGGAAGGATAAAATGCTAAAAACATTGTCCAAGTCCAACAAATTGTAACTTCGCCGTAATATAATACTATGCATGAAAAACACACAAGAAACAGATAAATATGAGGAAAGCCTACCTGGCCCGTACTCATGTTCTAATTGAATCCCTACAAAGATTACACTGCTAAGGTTGATCACAAGGTGGATGAGTCCAGCATGCATACAAGGAAATGTAAACAGACGCCAAATTTGTCGATATTCGGTCAAACTCTTTCGCCGAAGACCTCCCATCTTCTCTAGCCTGTAGCAGGATAAGGGAAAATTGTAGCCATTAAACTAGTAAACAGCTAAAGGGATTTTCGTTCCTTAAACTAAAGCTTTTCCGCTTAAATTGACATGTGAATGCTTATCCCAGTTGGATGATGTCCTAACATCTCAGAAGAAAGCAGCCTTTCGTTTTTAACAAGCGTCAATTCTGAAAGAGTATGATATACTTATCTATTGATTTCCAGGCACATTAGCACTTTCATTCACTCATTTCATTCTCACAAAATATGATGAATATGACATAAACATTGAAACTCTGAAAGGCAACTTGTTCCTGGGATGGACGTTTCACGATTTGTTATGTTCTTAGAAAATCACTAGGCATTGAGATTGATCAAAAACTTCGATTGAAAACAAACAAATTGCCTGATTTTAAGTTGGACAAGTTTATTTAAAAAGAATTTTCAGGAGCCGCAGAGGCAAATAACCTACTTCCATGAAGGCAGAAACTAGCAGCCTTACAAGAATCGTGGAAGTTTCCAGAGTCAACAAGTCCGATTCCTTATCAAGCACCATAAGAGCAGATGTTACCGAGATTAAACTCCAGAAACATTGATCCTCAGGAGGAAAACCGAAACTAACTTTATTCTCCTCAAAATTTTCCTAGTAGCCTATCCCAGGAGGAGCAATCGAAACGATACTTATAGCATTTACGATGTATCAAATCCGAAATCTTAGGGCAATACTTATCGAACTCCAGCCAAAAAATCAAATATAAATTCTGAAAACGGAGAGGATATGGCATTGACAAGAAAAAGACAAGCTCACGTCGAAGCGGAAGGGCCAAGAAGAGGATTCTCCGGGAGCGGCTGAAACGAGAGCCTTCCTAGAACTCCGAATGCGCATTCTTCGTGAGAGTTTGACCAGCAGTCATTAACCAGCATCATGGCGACGAAAGCCACAATGTGGAGAAGCACGAAGACGGAGACGACACAGGTATCACCTCTTGGCCTCCGAGAGCTCGATTTGAAGAACGAAATCTTCAATTCTTCCGAATTTTCTGTAAACTCAGTAGCGAACGGCGGCGGCGGTGGCGGCGGTGGCGGCGGGGGCTTAATTGCGATCTGCATCTTGAGCTCGGAACCGCCCGATGCCATTGCCGCCGTCTGTTTTCGAGTTGCTGGTGAGCAACTTTGAGGAGCGTGATTTTGAGGGAACCGATTCTGGCTTGCATTTACAGTTGCAGAATATTATAAGTCGGGGCAAAGAAGAAAATCAGTTGAGATTGGCGGGAAGTCTGTTTTGCTCAAACTAACACACTCAAATATTATTGAAAAAGGGATATTATTAATAAATTATACTACTTTATGAATTCTCTAAAAAATAATATGATTAATCTGATCTATTTACAACTTCAGGTCTAAAATTAAATTACATTTTGGATCATCTCAAGTTTTTTTAAAAAAAAAATTCATCCATTTTGCTCATAAATTTTCAGAATTATATCTATTTTAATTAATCAAATTTTAAATGAATAGACAAAAGGTCACTTCGGAGATAGTGATAGACAATGTTGAGTTATAGAATAGTAGCAATGACCATTAATGTTATTTTTTCTTTAAAAAATATATATGGAGATTAAAATAGATATTTTAAAAATTAAAAAGCTCAAATAGAAAAAAAAAACTTTGAAAAACAAAGTTCTTAAAGAATAAATATACAATAAAACTGTTTTTTAGGAAAATTTTATAAATACAAGGATGACAAGGACTCCATTCAAACTCCTTGTGATATTTGCCAACTCATTTGGCCAAAATATATCACTTTTAAAATTGAAGGATCAAATAATAACTAAATTTAAATCTAGGGACTAAAAGTGACGGTTTTTTAAATTTATGGACCATGTTGAAATCAAGGTTTTAAGAAAAATATATTTCGACCTTAAATTTATATAAACACAAAAAAAAAAAAGTCATCCTTGATGGTAAAACAATACTTCCGTAAGGTTCATCTCATGTAACCCACTTACAAGTACTTCCCAAGAAGTTGATGATTTTCTGAATGGGTTTTTTCTTGAAGAGGGAAATCAAATAAAGATAGCAAGTGACTGCTGGTAAATAAGAAGGTTGTAAATCAACCCTTGAGCCCAATTTTGCCCTTTTTTCACGTGTATAAAACAGAAATGATATGGAGAGAGTGAGTTCTTCTTCTTCAGTGCTCTCCTAAGAATGGCAAGGATCAAAAACCTAGTTGAAAAGAAAGTCTAAGCGATACATTTACATCATGGTGCCGTATTAAGACGATAAATCCATTGCAGCGAGATGAACTTGGAACGTTGCATAATTAGTGTTCGTCTACTTGAGCAGCAGTTGCACGTTGCTCTGTCGGTTTCTCGGAGTTGATTGTGGGGGAATTCTTCCTACCAGGACCTCTGGATACTTTTACTCTTGCTGGTCTTAGAAGTCGCTCTCCAAGCAGAAACCCGCGTTGTAATTCTTGAATGATGATTCCTTCCTTGATCTCCAATGACTCCTCTCGTGCTATGGCTTCATGTAACTACAACCAAAGAAATATTTTACCCTCATACAAAGAAGTGAAGGATATTCGCATCTACATCCTACCATAGCCATCAGTAAAGATAATAAACATTATCAYTTTCCACCCACTAATGCACTCTTGAGTATTTAATCTTAGATAGGTAGTCGCCATAGGTAGTCGCCATGATTACAATCCATTCCCTCTCAATAGTAAATCCTTTACTTTCGCAACTAGATCAATTTAAGGTGGTTCTGAGTTCTGATACAGTTGAAGTGAATTATTTGTGCAGAACTCTAAGTATAAACAATGGGAAAATAAATACTTTTTCTGTTTTAATCCTCCCAGTAGCAGTAAGATAAATTAGTGAGCAAGAAACACATGCATCAAAGAGTAAACTTTCGAACATTGAACTGAATCCCATTTTAGTCAAAAAKATTTAACTTACAGAGGGATCAAATGGCCTTCCCACAGTGGCTACAGAGGAGACCTGCCAGCTCCTCAAGGTCTCCACGAATTGTTTGTATATACCCTGGTAGCTTACATCAATCTTCTTCTCCTTGTCAGTTTGAGGAATAATTTGTTGCCTGGCTTTCTCAAAATTGTCAATCATTGGTAATAGACTCTCAATAACTTGCTTTTGGGCATTATTCTTCACGGTATGTCTTTCTTTTTCTGAYCTTTTCCTGAAGTTATCAAAATCAGCTTGTAAGCGTATATATTTCTCTTTTCCAGACGTTATCTCCGCAGATATACTGGACACTTTCTGGAACAATCCATTCTTCTCCCTCTCTATTATTTTTAGTCTAGCCTCAACTTCAGAAACAGTCTTTTGGTCTCCATCAAGAAAAGCTTCTCTGTATACATTAATGAGGGTCTGCAGACTAGATTCATGAAGCTGATCTCCTGCCTTTTCCACAGCTTTTCCATCATCCTCTTCTTTATGTACCTTTTTTTATATGAGGGGGAACCAACAACTACATTGAATATGCGAATAAAGAAAAACATAAAGTAGCTAACTTCGTCAACCAGCAATTAATCGAGTATCTAAAAAAGATCTTTAAGTACATCATAAAATGAAGAATCCAATACACACAAAATTTTCAATTAGATCAGAGTGCTGAGTCCTTTAATCATTGAGTTGTATCTTATAAGCCTAACAAGAAAATGAAGGCTATTCATACCATGAATGGAATAAAGTAATGAGAATCCTCCAAAAACTTCCACAGACACTTACTATTTCCATTTGTCCATTGCTTTCTTGATTCTTGAGATACGCTTTTTTCAAATAATTATACCAAGCTACACTTGCTCTCTCATTTCACTTACAGAGTACAAGAAAAATGGAAACATTAAATCTTATGGGTGAGTATTCAGCCAACATTGTCGCCAAAGAAACGTACCAATTTTTTTTTTTTAATATCAGTGAGTGTCCAGACTAACTTTCGCGCACCTCAACAAATTTCAATGAAACACATATGATATTAAATGCTAGGTAGGTGGCCATCGTCTACAAATATAACGAATATTGAAAACTGACACCATAACCAACTTAGCCCTCCAGCTTATTCTTTCTTGGTAAAATGCAAAACTCTTGCTTTTACCTCAAAATCCAGATTGTAGTCAGAGCATCAGACCTCTCCATCCAACACAGAGAAATAGAAATTGAAGTTCAAACGATGCATTTAAGAATCAGGACACAATATTGGCGAAACATTCAGCAATTCAAATACAATACGGCAAATAATCGATGTGACAGAAAGGAAAAAAAAAGTAAGCACTAAAAAGTGATAAAAACAAGAGCAGTAAGCAACGGAAGCAACAGATAAAAGAAGAGTTTAACGTACATTGGCAACAGAGTCTTGAGCAGAAAGACACGATATGAATGAACGTCTGACTGCAGAAGAACAGGAGGGAGAGAAACTTAATAATGGTTTACAGAGACGAGGGCTACGGCGAGGATTATGAAGAAGACAGAGAGGTTGCTGAATCGGGGATGTGGATTCTAGGGTTTCGGAGGAAGAAGAAATGAAGGAGAATGACGTAGAAGGGCGAGGAGAGAAGAGGGAGTAATTAGAGAGAGCAAAAGCTGCCATTGACAAGAATTACGAGAGAGAAGACGAAGCTGGAWTTGTGCAGCTGAGCTTCCTCCTCTTCTTCTTCCTTCTCTCAGTTTCTGGTAATTTCGTTTTGGTTTGGCCCTAAATCCGATTCTGAATTATTGATTGATTTTTTTTTCTTTCAAAAATATTTATTAATTTATGATTGATGAACAAATATCATAACGATTCAAAAAATATGTATCTGTTYAATCAAAACACTTTTAATGAATATTTTTGTCCATTTAAAAAAATTGTATAAAATTTATATTGTTAGATTTTTCAAAGAGTGTTTGATATRGTTTTCCGATACATTGGTCACAAGTTTTATTTTGTTTTGTTTTAATTTTTTTTTAAGAAACATTTTTATAAAACGTTATTTTTATATATGAATTTTTATATATGAGMATACTCAAAAAAWWWTTTATATATGTGAGATATTTGATTTATTATTTAAATATTTTCATATTTAAATTACATAATAAAACATATTAGTTTGTACGTGTATCTATCACTTGAGTCATTTTATCAATTTCTTTTTYTAATTTTATCACGATCAATGGATGATCAGAAGTTTGGAATCCTCGTCCTCCCCACTAAAAAGTGAATTATGTATTAAAAAATTTAGTAACTTTCATTCCATAATGTAAAATATCCTCCTCACCTTTATTTAATTAAAAAAAATAACTCTAGACATGACCGAATTGAATTTTAATCAAGAGACAATATGTTAAGCCTTCTTATTGGATAAGATAAGAAGAATATTTAATAACCAAAATATATCAACTTATATAAAACAATATTTCTAAATGTCAGATCACTATTTCTTTATTCAACTTTATTGTTATCTATGCTGGGACTTTATCAAGCAAATTTGGAACTTTAAAACATTAGGAACATATTCTTTGATGGTAAAAATSGAGACATTGAAAAATAGTGCAAATGCTGAATTAAATGCTACMTATATCTCCAACCAAGAGTTGTGCATTCTTACATATTATACTAAAAAAATACTACATTTAATTTGTTTTCCATTATTCAACTAAAATATTTGAGTAAATTAGAATGAACGRTAGTATTCAAAATAAAATAGTATTAAAATCTAATTTCATACACTTACTATATATATAAGGAACATTTTTTTCTATAAAAATATATATAAAGAACATTTAAACCAACATATACACAAACTAATATGAAATAGATGTCTTGCATGAAAGTAGTAATTTGTTTTATAATCTCCACGACCTCGAAGAAGAAAAAATARACCATAAAAAATTACTATATTACAAAATTGTAAAATATAAATTTAACTATAGAATGTTCAATGTTTTTGTACTAAAAAAATGTTCAATGTTTTGGATTAACACAACCTAACAAAGATATGCAACTAAATTAAACTAAAAATATATTTTTTACACTTTAATTAGAAAGTATTGAAATATAAGTTTTTAATTTTAAAACGACAAAAACTGTTTATACTGTTTTTTTTTTCACCTTGTACAAATTTAAAAAAGACAAATTATCAAAATAACTAAACTAAAAATCACGACTGTAACACAAATTTCATATACATGGAGGAAAAAAAAAGACACAAAAAGACATCGACACTCTACAAGTTTTTTTTTAAAAAAAAAAGTGTTGAGGGGAAAACACAAACTATCGCACATAAAATTTTCAAATATATCAATTTCTTGTAGTATTAAACAAATACCTACATAAACATAGCTCAACGGTTAAAATAATTTTCTCATTTTCTAAATGGCAGAGGTTCAATTCATCATTCTCACATTTGTCGTACTAAAAAATGAAAGTATTAAACAAATTAAGACCATAGAAAAAAAAGGTAACGTACCAGGGGTTGCAACGAGTCTAGCTAGCACTACGAACCAACATGAACACGGTTCAATAGTTAAGCCACCTGTCCCTCTAATAAAGGGAAGGCCTGCACCTTCTCCGTCATAATAATAATAATAATAATAAAAGCAATCAAAAGAATTAGCTTTTGACAAAAACCATGTCTCAACCATCCACATTAGGAAACAATGAAAATAGTTCAACAATCTCCAAAGGATAACCAACATCCAAAGCAAACTCAGTGACAGAATATCCAAACATCAACAAACATTAAAAAAAAAAAAAGTCTTGTCTTTTGAAGTCAGACTAAACAAACTATTAGCTACGAATGTTCAAATTGTAGTCAGCTTCCTGCCTGGCTCAAGCACCTACAGAAAGGGGAGGAGAACAAAATAGTCAGCAGCCTTTAAGACAAAACTTAAGTAACATCAACAGAGACGTGATATTAAGATATACATTGCTCGCCTACTCATTCGGGTCAAACACGAATTCAAGTTTTCAATATGAATAGACTGCAGAAGATTTTAACTTCATTGTATAGGATTTGAACCTTTTGTAAAATTTTAAACATCATAAAAAAAAAAAATAACAGACTGGAGTACTATATTATAAAGCCAGATAAATCATCAATAGGCAATATAAAGTTCACCAGAACATGCATTATATTCAAATCTAAGCACTCTTGCATATTATATAAGAATAAACCTCTATAAGTTACTAGTTAACAAGACAAAGAACAACTATAATCAGTCATAGATTTGGTAACAGAGAATAATATACGACATCACCACCTACACATTGGCCTAAATGACACCTTCCTATTCATGTGACTTCAAGATTTGAAATAAACACTTCTGTTCACAAATTTTGGTAATCGAAGACTCCGAAATGGATAATTTTGTTTGTTTTTTTTAAGAGACATCAACATTTCATTATCAACATGCCAGAGTATTAAGGATATGAGACATGCGTACCTGTACAGCCACTTCTACGCAAGACACAGATGTAACTACTATATACTATGAAAAAACTTTGATTCCAGAGGCTCCCAGTATAGCACACTACAAGAAAGTTTGTACAATTCAAAGAAGATCAAGTGGACTGATTAGGATTCTTGTCACCATCATTAGTGCTAACACCACTGTTAAGCCCATTTTCGGCAGGCAGATTCGTATAGATGACTTGACCAAACAACTGGAATGAACGTACTCCAGATTTAGTTGAGTTGCAGCACTGATTCTCAGTAGCTTCTGCAGCGAAGGAAAGAACACTAGCCTGACTATCAGGCGATAGGGTATCAGACTGCACACTACCAATAAGGAGGTCAGTAGACACCATCTGCTTCTTGGGCACCACATTCATCTTGCACATGGAATTGTCATCACAGGTTAGTGAAGTAATTTCTTTATATGAATTGGATAACCTAGATTCACAGAATAAATTTTGCCTGGCTCCCTGCATGCCAGCAGGAAAAGAGTTGAAACTCAATAATGATTGGTTGAATTGCTCCACTGTTGATGAATCACCAAATCTCATCATAGGTGAAAACAGCTCTTCTTCACCAGTCAGCTGCCCAGATTTCTGGAGACCTCTAAATTTCTTTGCTTGATGAACTGTAGGTTGTACTGGAGCAGCGGCTGTAGCAAATTCAACTTCCCAAGGGTTCACACCCTTTGCACTCAGCAGAGCATCAGTTTCATCCCATGTAACCTAAGAGAGAAAAAACGCAATTACATTTAAAAAAATATAATAATAAATGTTGGTAAATAGAGGAAGCAATACCCACTACAAAGATTAACTTCCAGAAACCACAAGAAATGTAAATCATTTACCGACCCAAGGAAAAAAATCTAATAAGCCCACCCCCATGTTTAAGGCAACGCCCAGACCAGTCATATGACCAAATCAACAAATCCTAAAATTCAAATTTTGAACTAACAAAGTAGACACCCCATTTGCGTTTTTTAATTGTCCATTCTGCTTGTTATCTGAGTCATCTGACTAACTCAATTGATTAAGAACTGTCGCAACCACCATAATGGTGATATATATCCACATAGAGTGACACATCTAATTCCAAGAGCAGTTTGGCAGATCAATCACAAATGGGGTGATTACATGTTAGCAGTAACTGGAACAAACGCCACATTTTCCAACACCAAATAATCCCAAGGCCAAGACAGCTACATGCATGATTCCATGTTAGACATTGAGGACGAAAATATCCCACTTAAATTACAAATCCAGGGGTTAGTTTTTAAATTAGAAACAAATTACAGACTAATTCTTAAGAAGAAAAGATATAAGGTTTAAAGATGTCAGTATCTTATCCAGAATGAAATTACCTAGAGAGTGAGACTCCACCACTTCTATTGTTTCCTGATTTACTATCACACAGAATTTGGTATAAATCCTAAAAACAAGTTCATAACGTCATAGATCCTATCCAGTGTCTTATCACTAATTGCCACGCTGAGCTTAGAAACAAATGTAAATACAAACAAAACGATCAACAAACACAGACAATCAAATGAAGCAAAATTCAATACATAATCGCAAGTAGATACGATCGCTCCAACACATAAGAAATTAAGAACATAAAAACTGTCTACCTGCAGCATACGCCATGGGGAATTCCTCCAAGGTCCGTGTTCAGGGATAGAAACTGAAGTTACAGTCCCCTGATACCATGTCGTCTTCGACGAATCCTCCGTGTCTACGGCCATTTTCACTCTTAATCCAGACGACCAATAATAACTCAGCGCCTTGTCCACCGTCTCGGCTTTAACTACAAATTCCGACCAACCAGCCCTAGGATAATAAACCACCTCGAATGGCCTAAATTGCGCTGCCAATTCCGCAGCATTGGCAACCGCCTCGGCCGGCAGCTTCCCAATACCATTCCGAGAGAAGACTTCTCTTCCTCCTTCTCCTGAACGGTTCTCCTCCGCACTGTATCTCACTCCACCAATCTGGCTATGCCATCTGCCGCAATCACCGCCTGTATTACCCTTTGTAGCGCGACGAATACCAACGAACATGTCCCCTCTAGAATTCTTCGCGAAAACGACAGAATCTCCCGCAACCAGCTTCTTATTATTCACGAACTTACTCCATCCGGTAGTGAGCAAATGCCGCCTCGGCGTCCCACGGAAAATATGGCGAAAATTCCAAACAACTCCATGAACATCAGTAATCGACAAAGTCTGCACCGGCGGATCCGCCAGGTAATTCAACGGAGGAAAAATAGAGTCGGCACAGAACCGCGGCACAGAGAACCCACCGCCGTTATTAGCATCAGAAGACGTGAGAATCTTAGCAAACGACACAACTCTATCTCCCTCCCCGCCATTATCATCAGAGCCCGCAAGAGGCAGAACAGGCACCTCCCCGCCATGTCCAAAGGGATGAAGATTCAACTTGATGCAGACCTCATCAGTAAGAGGATCCGCATTGAAGTGAGCAGCAGTGACGAGACATTTAGTAGCCGGATTGGAGAGAACAGACCTGGAAAGGCATGGAGCGGAAGAAGACTGCTCCACATGCCCTTGAGTGAAATAGTAAACCTGAGAGCCTACAGTGTGAATTTGGACAGAATTACCCGCAAAAGCACGCCAGAGTTTCGGGTCCATCCTGCCGGAATTGAACCGGCGGCCGATCGGACAGCAGCAGAAGGAATTGTCGTCTTAGGGCAACAAAACAGAGAAAAAAAACAGTGCAAACGAGAGAGAAAAGAAGAACAAGTGAATGATGAGATGAGATGGGATTTTCAGTTAGGGTTTCGATCTAGTAAAGGGGAATTTGGGGTGAGAGATTTCTGTGAAGGAGTGTGACTGTGTGTCTCTCTCTCTCTTCAAAATGTCTGTGATTCTAGAGAGAGAGTGGCGTCTCGGGTCGGAGAAACAGGCCATGGCAGCGCCATAGAGAGAGAGAAGGGAGCAGGATTTCAAGTAACAGAAACCCCGCAAAATCGGGCGGAATTACGGTTTTACCCCGACAACGTAACTGAATCTGATACTCTCAATTGTGATCTCTCGGAACAATATGGTCTATTTCCACTCTCGTGCGGACTCCACCAGATTCTCAGCGGATTTTCGTTTTTGAAAATTTTTAAATCTTTTTTAAATATTAAATATAGATTTTAGATAACAGATTCAGATTGGTTTATAAAAATAACCGAGTATTTGAACTGAATCTGGACTGTACTTTCCAACTGTTAGATATTAATTAATAGATAAAATCTTTGTGTTTCGAAATTAAATTAGTATTTTACTTTGATGGACTTTATTATTGCTTTTAGAAATTAATTAATTATTAAAATATTACAAACTACAAACCAATTTTAAAAATAATACATTATTCCATTCATTGGCAAGAAAAATTCAGTCATCTCTAATTTTTTTCTTTTAATACGTCATTTTTGTCGTCTCATGTTTTCAATTTTATTTCAACCCGAAATAGTAGATCTTTTTTAAACTGTGAAATCACAACGAATAGCAACTTCATTCGAATCTTTTCGTTTTCCATTATTTTTTTTAGAAGGAAAAAAAAAACTACCACTTGAGAAACGATTTTTCTTGCAAATGCTCCCGTAAATCCACCCCACGACTGCAATATTTTTCAAAAAGAAACAAATATTTTTAAAATTAGTGTGCAGTTTATAATATTTTAATAATTAGTCTTATTTTAAAAAAAAAAAAAAAACTCTATCTCGATTGGTGTAGTTTTAGAATATTTTATTTTTATTTTCTTTTCTTTGAAATCTTCGTGCATGATCTTTCGAAATTTTAAAATTCTGTTTTGATTTTGAATGTCGCATTCAAAATTATCTTAGTCTAATTCTTTTTATCAATCAGTCTATATGCAATTTTAATTTATTTTGAAATCTGAAACTTTACACCCTCGTTTATTATTATTATTATTTTTTATATTCGAGGTCTACATGACTTAGAATAAACTTCTAAAATTCATGGTAAGTTATCTTTAATTACAAAGATACTACTAGAATTAAGAGAAAATATAAATATAGAATGCAAATTTTTATTGGCACTGATTTTATTAGTTTGGTAAAATTGAGTTGAATTGAATATAAGTGGTAGTACTAAAGAAAGAGGTCGAGCAAACAAAACTAACCCGCTACATTGACTCGTGGGAAAATAGCTAGTTTTATTAAACAGGTTATTTGAACTTTTAATTCTTGCCTCAATGGCCTAATCCTACATTTTTTTTATATATCATTTATTTATAAATACAAATGATTAAAACGTGTAGAGATATGGAAATACTATAATTTGTAATTTTTTGAAAAGAACTATAATTTGTATTTGAGAAACAACCAATTTGAAGAAGAGTATATTTCCACGTTTGTGATGATGATGTTTCCATCAAATTTTATAAATAGCACCTGATAATTATCTCATTTTACATTTTTTTAGATTTTTCTTTTTTCTTTTTTGTAAATATTTATGAATAAAAAATAATCAAACTCTACCATTTTCTAAAACTATAATCATATTTTGTTACAGTATCATGTATTATGTAATTAAGAGGAAATCATAAAATTCATTCATTCATAGTTGTTCAAGATTGACATCTACCTGGGATCAGAAGTTCAAATTCATTTTTATTTTCTGAATAATTACATATAAAATAAAAATAAAAATATTTTAAAATACAAAGAAAGAGTAAATTAAACTATGTTGAATGGCCACTTAATATTAAAATATATATATGTGAAATAAACACTGACCACTTTATATTAGAATGTATATCGGACTTCCTTTCGAATCATAATTTCACCGTTTAGTAGCTCGACCCAACCCCATACACAAGTTTTTGTTCTTGTTCTTCTGAGTTCAACCATCACAGGAGAGAAGGGTTAAACCGTTATAATTTGTTATAGTTACTTGACCCTATCTATTATAATTTGTTTACCATCTACTTATCTATTTATAAATATAAACTGTTAATATAAATATAAATAGATAAATAAATGACACTTTATTTACGAATTTTTTGCAAATCAAATGTGCTTCTAAAAAGGTGGAAAATGTAGCTAAAAACAATTTGATGAAATGGAGCCCAAGCAAACCAAATCGAAGAATTGAATTTGAAGCATTATGTCATTATGGTCGGCTTTCAGCTCCGATCAAAGTACTTTAAAAAGGCAGAAAAACGCAACTTTGATCAATAACCGAATGTAACTTTAACTTATTCATAGAAATGACATCTCAAAAACACCATATCATAGTAGACGAAAGAAAAAAGGAATGTAAGATCTGAATAGAAAATTCATTCATACAGAAAAGCACAAGGACACTATAACTATTAATGAAAGCAAAACAATATTACGAGTTCAGAGACAGCTGGACGAGGAAATGAAGAGAAGACGACATAAAAAGCACCACAAGAAACAAGACAAGCTGACCTAGTGATTATCCCTTATTCCAAACACCACATAATTTGCTCAGGACTCTGCTAAAACTATGATAGTAGAAATAAGAAAACAAAGCTTACTCTTCTTCTTCTGTCTCCGACTCGGCATTCTGGAGCCATTCAATGAAGGGCTTCACATGCTTCCAGATTTGAGAACTTTTGTTTTCGCCAGCCAGACCCTGTTGGTACCATTCTAATACAAATTCCTCCTCTAGCACATCGCCATCATATAGTGATTTCAGGACAAGGGCAACCTCCTTACCAGCCTCGGGATTAGTATTGAGACACAAAGATTCAATGGCACGTAGAAGAATTATCTGCGACGATCCCTCCTGAGCGGCAGCTGCAGCCAAGAAGCTCTTCTTTTTCAACACCTCCTTTGAAAAGCCTTTCCCAACTCCATCAAATAGACACTCGACTAAGGCATTCACAACCTCTTGGCGAGTTCCAGAAAGAGATTCCAAAAATGATTTAAGCTCAGCTGCGGAGGAACCTTTCTTCAAATAATCTTTGATCTCATGAACTAGCGCTCCATGGGCGGAGATTCCATTTCCATTCTTGTTTCCATTGACCTGTGACTTCTCATTCTCGGTGGACTTCTTTGATGACTTGTTCTCTTCTGTAGTAGAGAGCATGACCATATCAGCAGTGACAGCACTCAACTGCTCCTGAATACGCTGCTTAGCTGCTTCCAAAGATGTGTCTGTTTGCCACTGTACATCATCCTCATCCTCATCGTCATCAGCTGCGTGGTCATTATCACCAGCTTGGCTACGAGTTGGGGAATGATCCTCATCCGAGCCATTGTTCTTCTTCTTGCTGGGCACTTTGGTTACAGCATCCTTTGTATTACCAGCAGTGCTTTTCTTCTTTACTGAATCCTTCTTCAGTTTCTTCTGTTCTTCATCTGCAGCCTCTCCCTCCTTAAGCCGTTCCTTCTCAGCCCTCCTCATTGCTTTCTTGTCTTTTGATCCTTTCTTCTGTTCAGGAGGATTCTTGAGAATAAATGTTGTGAGCTTATCTCTCATGTCAACATCAGATATGAATCCACAGGCAGCACATTTCATAGTGATCATCTGCGTCTTTGTAATGATTATCTCAGTTTCAGGGTTTCCACAACCATAGCATTGAACATATTTCTTGATGAAGTTCTCAAGAAGCCCAGCAAGCTTTGCTGTATCATGAGCGCCATTTACAAGAGAAGTTCCAGTTTTCTCATCAAACTTGGATTGTGCTCCAAGCTCACATCCAAAGTACTTGGTAGTGTAAGAGGCAGGTCTGCCCAAGGCTTTAGCAATTTCAACCATATTAACAACGTTAGTCTTGATGCCATTACCTCTACCTTCAATTTTAGTAACCATCTTAGGCATCTTATACCTATAGAAGGCATCATCACGGTTTGAGGCACCAATATTCTGCAACGCCATGTTGTTAATACACAGAAATACTGCAGTTCTGGTTAGAAAAGATAGATATCAGCAGCAGTATCTTCAATAGGACCTATTGTTCTTTGAGCAGCTGGAAAAGGCCGCATAAAATGGAAACCAAGATCACGTGCTTTTCTATGAACCCCAAGCAACTCAAGATGCATGCAGCCAATAGTCTCGGCACAACTGATCTTTTTCCTAGACGTAGGACAATACTCTCCAAGCAATCCAATTGACGACAAAAAGAGAGAGGCCCGTTCAGACATAAAAGGAGCTTCAAACTTAACGCCCTCCACTTTGAACTACAGAACAGCAGACCTGGTGGCCAACTTCCTGGGATTAGGATTAAATAATTATGCTCAATTACCATATGGCTTAGGTTAAACATAACACTAAAGAATTATTTATTAAAAAAACCAAGAAAATAATTCACCATTGGGAAATAATGATCTAGAACAACAATCATATTCAGAATTAGCAACAACAGAACTTGCACGGGAAAAATCAACGGCACGGCACCTTGTTTTGTGATCTCAATGGACTAATCTTTAATTCCAGCTATGACCAAAGAAAACATAACATTTGCAGTTCTCATTAAGTAGAAAAGAGAAACAGAGAAACAACTCAAATATGTCATGGATAAACACAACCGCACAGTAGATAAAGAGAGTTCTGAGAAAACGAAAGAAAATCTTCAGAATGATACAACGGTAAATGGACGACAACACCTTAAACGTATATACTATCCATTTAGAGCTAGTAATATAAAAGCTAGTAAATAATCAAAAGCTTTTAGAGTGGCGTATGGAAAAAAGAAACACAATACACAATTAAACACAGACGGATACAGCGAAACTCCTCGACCTAATGAATAATCCTAAATGGCAAAAATAATAAAATCGAATTCAAACGTAAGATTCATCATCGTCCTCATCTGCTTTCGAATAAATAACATACGAATCTAAAGCAACCATCATATTTATCATTTCCGATCATTCAAATATTCAATTAAGAAAAATACACGAAACAGACAAGTAATCGAGAAGCAAATCCACAGATCTGAACGACAAAGCAAAGAAATTACAAAATTCCATCAAGAAAAGCGGTATTCCGATCTCCGATCGTGAAGACTTTATTGAATCAAAGACTTCAGGGACGAAGACGTGAAGAAATTGAACTCGATAGCAAAAACAACAAAAAATTAAAAAAAAAAAATCAAATCAAAGCAAAAGTTGAAAATCTAAGGGCGATCAAGAAACGATAACAATGATGAAAACTGAGAAATCCTTGCCTTACAGTGGTGGGTGGTTGTGATGGAAGAAAAACTGATCCTGAAGCCTTGGCTCTTGTTTTCGCGGTGACGAAGAAGCCGATGGGATTTCGATGGGAAGGGGCGCCTTTTATACACGCGCAAAGGAGTGGTAGAAAGAAAACCCTACACGTCACCAATTAGGGCAACTTTCGCAAAACGATTTTAAATATTAAAAATAATTTGCGCTAACCGACCCGAGGGGCAATGAATTGCCCGAAATGTTGGAGGTATTTACGACTTTACCCTGGCCCGGCGCCATTAATATCGTCCTTTTTCGCTATCTATTATTTTGACACGCAGCGAGTCACGACATGAATTTGAAAAATATGGCGTGGTCAAAATGGTAATTGTAGCGCCACCCTGAGGGTATTAGAGGGAAAAAGATGAAATATAGGGCGGGATAGTTGCAAATTTGTTATTGTAAAATGTAAATTGTTGTAAAGGTATGACTTTCAGGAAAGGAAAGAAGCAACAATGCTGGAATCTTCTTCAAACGCTTTTTCGTGGAGGAAAAAATAAGTTTAAAGCTTAAATACTATTTTGGTTGTTCTGCTCCTTTAATTTTTTTTTTTTTTGGGCGTTTTTAATTTCAAAACGTTAAATTTAATTTTATATTTTTAACTTTTTTTCTTTTAGCAAAAATTTGTGTTCATTTTAATTTTTGTATTTTTTTAATACATTAAATGTGAGAATAGGAGATTCGAACTCATGATTTATTGGTCAGATATATATGACACTTATTATGTTGGTAATTGTACTCTATAATTGGTCTATTTTGGTCATTTTTATTTTATTTACTTCAATCATAATTTTAACATTACATTTCGCTTACTGAATTTCTTAGAGTGTACTATATAATTTTTATTGTACATAAATTTTGTGTTGAAATGTTTACCAATATGGATCAAAATGGTTGCTTTTTACATGTAAATGACTAAAATTGACGTTTTGAAAGTACAATAATTAAAATAGACAAATTTTGAAATTATAGAGATCAAAATATGGGTTTTGAAAATATAAAGACAAAAATAGTATTTAAACTTAAATTATATTTTTAATTATTTTTCAACAAACACGTGGTTGTGGGGATTATAATCTCAACCCTTACATTTATGTTCTTTAACAACCTATAAAAAATTTAATGTCCATGTGAATTTTGAAAAAAAAAAATCGATCAAGCTTGTATTATGAGCAAGATGTTGACATTTTCTGTTATTCAATAAATTAGCATGTTAATTGTGATTTTATAGACTTTTGGGGAAAAAAAACACCTTTTTAGTGAAACGTTTTTTCTGTAAGTAGGTTTTTTTTTTTTTAGAATAAACTATAAATTAGTGTTTATAGAAAAAATTCAAGAAATTAGTGTGTTCTTAGAAAAAAGAAAAGGAACAATTAGTGTGTTGCAATGTTTTTAGAATAAGTAGTTTAAATACTTCTTTAAATATTTTTAGAATTTTCGAGATTTTTTTATTGTCTAATAAGTGTATAAAAAAATTGAAAAGTGGTTTCAACAAGTCATCTTAATCATTGCCCTTAAATAATTGCGCAAGTTTTGAAATAAAAATTTTGTCAATGTGCAGAAAATAAATTTGACATTAAATATTTTCTTATTATTTATGGAATATTGAGAATAAGTGCATAACCCTGTAGTAGATGGTGTACGACTTAATTTTAAAAAAGCAGTTTTATAAAATAGAAGCATTATTACACTACACCAAATACACACCCAAATTACAATTTTTTAATGATTTTTAATAAATTATTATCAACATTTTATATAATGTCAAAATTGCCAAAGTTTGGCATTATATAAAGTTTCATCAATACGTATAGGTTTTACAAGATCTCTCAAAGCCAATTAATTATAATGGCTGTGATTAATATGTAATCGAATTAATCATAAATCTTCTTAAAATAAAGCAATAAATCAGAATTTTCTCCGTTCTTTTTCTTTTTGAAGGGAATATCTGGGATTAGTCACTACAATAATCCGCAGTTTGAGTCGTCAAGTAATACTTAAGATCAATGTAATCAATTCGAGTACACTAAAACAAATTAATTGAAATAAATTACGTGTTTTTAAAGAAATAGAAAACAAATTAAGAAAAAATCGGGAAGTACCAATTGACTGTATTGTCAATTTTCCTTCAAGGAGAAACTGCATCCAAAGTGCAAAAAGCTTTCTATCGGAAGAACCGAGAAAAAAGTTTAGATTAGAAAACAAATAATAGCAATAATAAAACTCCCATAATTGCAAGTGAAAACTATTTTATTAACAGATGGTATAAAAATAATATCCTTACATTTTCTTTTCGAAAAATATGTTATAAGAACGGTGAAAAACATATCAGATAAATTAGGAATAAAACAAGTCTAATTTTTAAAAACAATTGTGAAATCATTATCCAAATGGACACAGATCTGACAGCCACAAGCAAAACCAAATCATCTATTCACGAACCATCCACCACAAGAGAGAACAAAAAGAAATAGAATATCAATACAAAGGAGGTTGAGTAAAATGAACTATATGAAAAAGGGGTTCATAAGGCCCAGAGAATAATTGCAAAACTCTCGGTCCCTCTAAAAATCCTATCATTCTCTTTGAAGCCAACGACCTCACAAAATCTCAAAAAAAGCCAGCACTCAAGAGGATCACAAGAGAAGCTCGTTTTGCAAGTGAATTGTTCTTGCAGTGTGAAGATAAGAACCAAGAACACTACAGATACGTCAGTGTAGATTTACATACATATCTAAAAGATTCTGTAGTTAGGAGGAAAAATAAACACTATAGAATAAGAGCCTCCTGCCCAAACATCAAAATTTTCTCAACTCCAATGCCTGCAAATGACTTTTAACAAGGATGGAAAGTATAGTAACCTTGAGATTCTTTTAACATCAATAGCCTTCAAACAGAACTCCTCTAAGCTAACTTCCGTCTGGGCCTTTGGCCTTTGGCTAACGGCTGCTCTACCATGTCCCCTTCAACCCCAGTGAATAGAGGGTCAGGAATGTGACATGTGCCACGGCATCATCGGTGTGGGTCTAGGCAACAATCGCATAAGGCTAACCTTCCTAGCCAGGCGTGGCAAGGTGCCCGCGTTTGATGTTGACAAGGCAGGGGTTCAGATTCAAACCTCTCGACAGGTTCGCACCCCTTCATCAGGCGGGAGGAGCAATAGTAGGATGTCAAGTCAAGCTCATGGTGTGCCTAATGAGAACTCCTTCTAGCTTTCAAACTCTGTAACTGTGAATATAACTTAAATCTCAGATTCCTAAATATAATTTCAGCTATTGAACACTACAAGTGCTTCAGGTTTGAAGTTTCCCATCAAATTCCCGCAAGAGCAACTTAGAATTATCAACAATCCGTTTGCTTTCACAGACTATATAACTACATAATTCATGCCTGGGCGATGGCCTCAGTGATTTTAGCTCAATGAGAGGATTTGTAATGGCATATTTACTACACAACTCCCTCGCTGGCTGAACATGCTTCCACCAAAAATCCGATAGAGCCATTTTCAGTACCTTCCAATATTCTACATCTCGATACAATCTAAATAGACTGCTACCTTTAGGAGTCCAAACATAAAAGTCCATCCAATCTCTATCCATTATTTCCATCAAACCTTGAGCTTGTGGAATAGAGTAAAGAGGAACTCGTGRCCATGGTGAAGCCTTTCTCATATCACCATCAAAAAAGGGACACTTAATCTCCAAAACTCCTCTTGAAGGCAATCCATAGACAATCTTGTCTATTGCACCATCAGGTGAAGCGGCTAACCAATCATCTTCAGAGTTCGCTTTACCATAGACTTGAAATTCAGGAAACAAGACAGTGTTTCCTGTTATAAGTTTATATCTTTCAAGTGCCTCTACTTCTTTGCTGTTGCTCCAGCCAGTGGCTAGGTTACCACAAAACTGCTCAGTCGCTCCAAGCTTCTCTAACCACAGTTCTGCCCTCCGACGAGGCCAAAACCCTATAGCCCCAGCAAAAGTACTAGCGGTCAACTTATGCGTTTTGAGTTCTTTCCAATTTTTGAACCAATGCTGAAAGCTACTGGACTGAAGAACAGAATGATACTTAGCCATTTCAAATCTCAAAGATTGAGAATTCAAATTACATCCAGGCCGATTCCCAGCAAACGTGTTTCTGCAAGGGGACACTAATGATTTCTGACTGCTGAAGTTTCTACAATTATTCAAACTTCTACCAAGTAGGCYATAGTTAGCTTTTTATGGAAGTGAGAAGCGAGATCTTCATTGCCTAAACAGAATAAACAAACAATTACAAAACATCCTCTTTAAACATATTAAATCACCGGTGAATCTATAAACTTATTTGACTCATCCAAAAACTTAAGCTCTCAGTTGGACTCTCCCTGTTGAACTGAAAATTTGCACAAAGACCCAACTAGTACAAATCAATATTAAATGGAGAAGAAATTATCATACATCGTTCAAATAAAGAACTTTCAACTTGATACCATTTTAAACATGTTAAATCAAATCATCCGTAAACCCAAAACCTTAAGCGGATTAGTTAGAGTAAATTTAACCATTTATACATATCTAAACAACATCCATTAAAATGGGAAAATGCATCTATCCATTGTTGCATCAAACAGGTCCGGATTAAACTGAAATCTAAGGACATACCTGCAACTGCTGGACTGGCCGACAGAACGGAGAGGGGTGCTGAGGGATATTTGAGAGAGAAGGAGGAAGGTTAAGAAGAACAGAGGGAAAGGCTGTGGGCCAAGAAATGAGACAACATTTAAAAGGAAATTAATATATATTTATATATGTGTGTGAAAGTGGGCTGGGCTGCGGATTTGTGGAGCATGGGGACTGGGCCAAGATGTCCCACTTCAAATTTGTTGAATTAAAATAAAAAAATAAAAATTTTACTATGCCAATATGTTTTTTTTCTCTCTAGTTTATTTCTTTTTTTTTTCAAATTAAATGTTGATATATAATCATTAATTATTGGCTATGGAATGGAAGTTCAAACACTATCTTAATTAGTTGAGCTAGGTTTAGTTGACAATTTAGCCTATTTATTTTGCCACTTTAAATATGTCCATGAACTTTGAAATAAACTTCTATATGGTGATTGTCTTTAAATGATGATGTTACATCATGCTTATTTGACAAGTATAAACTAATTTAACATGATAATAGTAGATAGTTAAATAAAATAAAATACTTTATCAAGAAACGAGAAACAATGATGAAAACAGAGAAAATTCTTGCCTTATAGTGATGGGTGGTTGTGATGGAGAAAAACTGATCCTGAAGCTTTGGCGTTTTCGCGGTGACAAAGAAGCCGAYGGGATTTCGATGGGAAGAAGGGGCGCCTTTTATACATGCGCAGAGGAATGGTAGAAAGAAAACCCTACGCGTAAAACAATTTTAGATATTAAAAATAAAAATATACCAAATCATGAAGACTCTGCTGTTAAATCATCAATAAACCTAAAAACATAAAATCTTTAAGCAGCAGGGAAGCCTGCATAGATATTTGAATGAACTTCAACTGTGGCTAGTGAAATTCCATTTCTAACGACACTTCAGTTACAACACAGGGAGACGTTCCAGAAACTCCAAGCATACTACATATAACCAGAGACTAGGGAATCCAAATTTTCCGTTGCCTGGATTTCAATCAAGAGAAAATGGTAAAATGCGCTCACTGCAACCACGTGCCAACAAAAGACCAAACTCAAAGCACCCAAAACCGAAAATTTAGAATCCATTTCCCCGTTCTTTTGTCAAAAAAACCCAACAAATATAATTAATTATAATCACAAATCGTACCCAATCACAACAGATTAAAACCTTAACCGAGGCCATTTCCAGGAAGAAAAGAAGAACCAAGTGTAACTGGTACCCAAAAATCAAGCTCATGTCGAATAACCCCCTCTTGGCGCTAATCAAATGAATCAGAATTCCAACSAATAGSAACTAAAAAGACRGAATTAAAACAGGATAAAACAAGATGGAGCTGCAAACATGGGGAAACCAAATTTAGAACAGAAAAAACATAAATTGGTACCTKGGAAATGGAAATGTTGCTCAGCATATGAAAGATTGGAGGAAGAAGAGGGAGTGGAGCTAGGGTTTCAGACAAGCCTCTGTTGATATTCTGCATTTCCAGATTTTTTTTTCCCTTCTAATACGCTTAACAATTTGTGTGCGGTTCGTGTTCCGCACGTGAACCCTATCAAAGACGCTGACCGCCGCACGTGATGGTAGTTAGGGTTTMGGGTGGAAGTCAAAGCAGCCCCATCAGACTTCAACATTCACGATTCGCCAATTTCTTTTAGGATTAGTACACGACTAACTATTTTAGGGTTCGAATTACCCAATAAGTTTAACCTTTTAACCATTTACATTATTATTTAAATATTAACCTATTAGAGGTGGAATCCATTAGAAAAATTATAGGTTAAATAAGGATAAAAACTTGGAAACAAATATATATWTTTTTTTTAAAACACTAAAATCGTGTAATCATGTTTCATGAAATCACTGAATTTTTGTTTTGACATCCTTAAATCCATAAATCTCTAATTTGAAAACCTAAAATCGTTATATAACTATATACCACCAAAAATTATATTATATAACTTAAATATTTGAGTGTATATCACTAAAAGCTATATATTATATAATCTTTTGGAGTAGCATATGTTATCATTTTGTAAATTATGGGATAACAATATATTATACCATGGTAGTTGGAATATATTCTATATCATGATAGTAAAAAATATATATYATATAACCATTTAAATTAATACATGTTTTATCATGAAAAAAAAGAGCCATAAAAAAAACTCATGAGAGAGGAGTTTTTTTAATTTTGATTACAAAAGTAAAATTTTGATATTAGTTGCGATGTGAGAAAAATATGAAATTTTTTAGRTTGGATTGAGAGAAAAATATTTGAAATACAAACGTGGAAAAAATTTGATAAAAATCAAATTTGATCGTTTAAGTAAAAAAACAAATTTAATCAAATAAAATAATAATTGGGGGCAATCTTTGGATGAATGAAAATTAAAATTTAAAAATTAAGTTATTTATTAAATATTTGTTCTAAAATTATCCATTAAAATTTTTTTTCTTTCTTTTTTTTTTAAGCTCGATGATCAATCATCGACTTTTTTTAGTATGTGAGATTGGAGTTCGAATCAACAACTTTTGGTTATAGATATAAGTCTCTATCAATATATGTGTTGGCGATCAAATCATCAACTTTSAAATAGAAAAAGYTATTTTATATATTGAGTTATATTTGGATTGTTTCAATCATGATATTAAATTTTTGCAAATATATCGAAATTTCCTAATATTCGTGAGTTCAATATTGACTTGTGAGATGAATCACATTTCTAGAGTACCACAAATAATTCAACATTATATAAAAAAAATATCAACAAAATATAATATAGATAGATAGTAATAGAGAATAAGAAGTTATACAAGCTTTTTAAATTCTAGTATAAATGATAATTAAAGAAACGTATAATTTTTTTTTGTATTATAACCTTTTAAATTCTATACAATTATTAATATTGATAATTGATAATTAATTTAATATTTATAATAATATATTAATGCGTAGTTTTTATATTTGTAAAATTATTGAGCGACAAAAGTATTTAAAAATATTCGATATTTTCAACCTAAACATAGTTCAATTATAATAATCATTTGTCAAAGCAACCCTAGTTCAACGGCTAATTGGCATATACGTCCAACTAAGAGGATGTAAATTCGAATCCCCTCCCCAATCTATTGTAATAAAAAAAATTATAACAATTATTTATTAATCAATAAAAAAAATTATAATAATTATTTATTAATTTTTTGAATATTCCAATACAAGTAAAAAACGAGAACTCAAAGAAGGAAAAAAATACTAACCATCAAATTATGATATATCATGAGAAAATAAAACATTTAAACATTGTTTCGGTGGGTGACTACTGAGAATTTAAATTAAAATCGTCATTTAAAATTTACATAATAATAAATAATTAGTCAATATTAATTTTTTCAACAATGTATGAGTAGAGATTAAAAGTTAAATAAATAAATAATGGATTGATACATAATTCGGCTGCTTAAGAAATACTGCAAGGGTTGAACTAAAAATAATAATAAAAAGAAAATTAAAGAAAATACAGGAATTTGAAAAACGTATACGAGTCCCACTTAAACAAAGTCCAATAACATGCCAAATAAATGATGAAAAATGAATCGCGTGCTCAAATTCAGTTATTACGAAAATTTTCCGTTCTTCCTCCACATTTCTCTCTCTCGATTCGAACCTTTGGGTTGCGGATGCGAGCAGTGAGTGCTTGAGCGGTTTACGAAAATGAACAATCAAAGCCAAGGGTTCATTCAATGGCAATGGCGTTGGCTGCTACAATTTCTTCCCCAAAACGAAACTCTTCGCAGTTGTAACGTAGTAGCAGCTCTCTCTCTCTTTAAAAGCTACGCTGTCATGGAAGCTGGCCATCTATATTTGCCTCTCTTCTCTCTGATTCTCCACCGCAGCTCTGTATTCATCTCCCCCATTTTCTGTTTCTTCCGGGGGAGAGGTACATTGCCGAGCCAGAATGAAATACCGCGGTCCTCGAAGGGTTTCTGCAAAATGGATTCCCTTCTTTTGCCTCTCCTTCTTCCTCTTTGGGATGCTTCTCACTTCCAATGGCAGGTTCACTTCTCGCTCTAGGTCTTATGTTGGGCGCATTGTTTGCGTTTGGTGACGAATTTGACCTAAATCAACAGGGGTTGTTTGTTTTTTTGACGAGATTTTGGTATTGGAATGATGTTTCAGGATATGGACGCCGAAGCAACAGGATTCGTACGTTGTCTCCCGCCTACAACATGAACAACAACAACTCCGAAGCGTTTCTGAAGACATCGCTGCGAATGAGGTGAGCATCGCAAGACTCGTTTCATTGTTTAAAATTTAAATTGTTGGGTTTTACAGTGAAAGCTTCTATTTATATTTGGTTTTGATTAATCGTATAAACCTGCGAAGGACAAGGCAGTATTGTCGGAGGTTTACAAAACCCAGGAAGCAATTCAGTAAGTGTTCATTTGGGTCTCTTTATTTCTTGATCAAATTTTTTATTCGTCTTTTAAATTGATCATCTCTGTTCTGTGTGGGGGGCGTTAAAGATCTCTAGACAGGAAATTTTCTACGCTTAAGATGGAACTGGCCGCGGCTCGGAAGGCTGCACCATCTGCAATCAATGTGTCATCAGATAGAGACCATTTCCCAAGGAAGAGGATGTTCATGGTAATTGGAATCAAYACGGCCTTTAGCAGTAGAAAGCGGCGTGATACTATAAGGGAGACATGGATGCCTCAAGGTATTTGGCTCTATTCTACCAAATTGTATGTGCTGTATGATTGTTGACATGTGGACAAATAATTAATTTGACTGTTAAAAGAAGTATGAAGAAAGTTTATTGAAATTACCCTTGGGATGGCCCTTGTGACAAGGACGGAGGAAGCTGTTCCCAATGGAGGTTCAATATGAAAGCTTAATACATGAAGACCTTTAATGTCTCTTGGAACTCTCTCTATGGAAATGGTGGGGCGGGACCGGTAGATACCATGAATTATTTATATTTATTCCAACGTATAACAATTGGAAGATTACTCCCTGTTCTTATGATCACTCTCAATGTACAGATAAAAACATGGACAATATTAGCCATTTAAGGGCTTGACGGTAAGGACTGGGATGTTTAGAGATACCATTTAATAAGGTTCCGTGTTTAAGTACCTGTTGCCTAATAGGATCATGGGATGTTTGGAGTGATATCATCAAATAAGGCCCAAGTTAAAAATTTAATGACTTTAGAACTCCCGTAATCTCTCGAAATTGTCCTGAGCGAGCGAAGCCTCCTCAGGACCATGGKCATAATGGAAGGAGTGGATCTCGACGCCACGGACATATAAAGAAAAAAGAACCATATTTTAAGCCTTAGTTATATTTATATTATAGCTGGGAAAAGTAACTAACTGTTTGGTCAGGGAAAAAACTCTTGCAATTGGAGCGCGAGAAGGGAATTGTCATAAGGTTCATGATTGGCCATAGGTAACAATAACATTAATCCAGGTTACATTATTTGTTTTCCTTCTGTGGAATTGATAGAAGTTATGTTTGTATAATTTAAACAGTGCAAAGTCCAACAGCATCTTAGACCGTGCCATTGATTCAGAAGATGCTCAGCACAAAGATTTCCTTAGGCTGGTAAGAAAGCACCCAATACAATGTATGGATGATTAGAATCCTACGAATTGAGATGGAATTTTGTCTTAGTCTTGCATTTCTTCGTAGGAGCACATTGAAGGGTATCATAAATTGTCTGCAAAAACAAAGATTTTCTTCACCACAGCTGTTGCAAAATGGGATGCTGACTTCTATATTAAAGTTGATGATGATATCCATGTCAATTTAGGTACGTATTACCTCTTGAAATCTCTCAAAGTTACCGGTCATGTAGTGATCATGTGAATAATGGTCTGGTTTCAATTTGCTTGTCCTTTTTGACTTATAGCTTAGAGCCTGATTGATAACTATTATATGTGTATTGTCTTTTTAGGTGTATTAGCTACAACTCTTGCTCGTCATCGTACTAAGCCGAGAGTGTACGTGGGATGTATGAAATCTGGACCTGTTCTTTCTGACAGGTAATTCTGTTGGAGGCTTGATTAGAGTTAGAATGTACATTGTACCATTATGCTCGCYTCAACCATCTTATAGAGCTGAGGAAGGGAAACATGAGCTTTAGATTTGTATTTATTTCAGTCCTCCCTACCCTTGTGCTAAAATAACATTCCTTCACCGGGTTCTTGCACTCTTCTTTTCGTAAATGAAAACCATATCAACGGCTCAGTATTAATATCAACATCCTGCAGTAATGATGGTATGCTACATGTGATGTGTACTGAACAAAAATGCTCTGTCATGACAGGAATGAGAAATACCATGAACCAGAATATTGGAAATTTGGGGAGGATGGGAACAAGTATTTCAGACACGCGACTGGGCAGATTTATGCAATCTCAAAGGATTTAGCCACTTACATCTCAACCAACCGGTGAATACAATTGTTTCATTAACCATCATATTCAATTTAGAAGCATAAGAGCTACCAAACGAATTCCATCCGAGCAACTCTATATATGTTGATTTAAAGTTGTAAAATGTACTGATYTGTGACTGCAGGCAAATATTGCACAAGTACGCCAATGAGGATGTATCACTTGGTGCATGGTTCATCGGTCTCGAGGTTGAGCATGTCGATGACCACAATATGTGCTGTCCGACATTACTAGGTACTCTTACCAAACATGATAACTGTTAACTTATTGAAATGGTTCATTATTGCTAAAACCAATCGTTAGACTTGTGGTAAAAAAACATTCACAAAAGTAACGGTCACAAGGGGTCATCAGATTTCCATGCATCTAACCGTCACGAGAGTAACAATTGAATATCAGGGAAAACCAAAAAYCGAAGAACGTATGGAAGAATTAGAATGGGTGGAATTGTTGATGGGTCTATATTTGTGTGAATGGTGAATGATGCAGATTGCGAGTTGAAAGCACAATCAGGGAATGCTTGTATTGCATCATTTGATTGGAAGTGCAGTGGGATCTGCGAGTCAGTGGAGAGAATGAAATACGTTCATGAGAAGTGCGGGGAAAAGAACGACACTGTGTGGACTGCTTCCTTCTGATCGACGACCTTGTAAAGTTTTGGTAGATTTATATATCTATAGAGAGAAGAGAGATGTTCTTCCGGCATTCACAAGGGGCTTCAACATCTGAAGAAAGATTGCTGCTGCTGCTGCTTCATCAGCTCCCGTGGAAGCCATGTGAGAGAGATGAGAGAAGAGTCATGTTTTTACACTTTATAACCAATAGCTAATAGTAATCCCAATACCAACATTGTTCTTAACGTATTTCTTGCAACTCTCTCTCAGATTGCTTAAATAAGCGTTAGGTCTAAATTACCATATTATCCTTGATTATGGATAGAATTTTTTAAGGTCGTTGATTTTAAGGTTTATCTTTTTGTCCCTAAAATTTACCTTCTAATTTGATCTTAAAGTTTGGAAAAAACAATTTAGTCCTTCAAAATTTAGCAAGTACCTTAAAATATGGTTGTTCTTCAGATATATAAGATCAGGTTGGTTTTTTTTTCGGAAGATTAAAAGAAATAGTGTGTTATACGTCCGCATTAAACAATTTGATTAAGTTTTTTTGAATTGAAGGGAAAAAAAACATAGCTTTTAAATATTGATAAAAATAAGACAAACTTAAAATTCAAAACTAATTTAAATGTAAACTAATCTATTATAAACCAATTTACACTTTAAAGTAATTATGAGTCTAGGATGCTAGGTAGAAAATGAGTTATCTCTCAAATTTTTTTTTTTTACCATGGTAAATATGACAAAAACATTTAGTAAAATTAGCAAAATGACAACTACATCTAGGTTTTTAAAATATAACTCTTTTGGTACAATCTTAAAATGGCAACTTTATCGAAATGATATATATGTGTAATATATATGACTATTAATACATGTGTATGATATATATCTGATACACTACTAATATGAGTGTTTGATATATTTGTAATATATATGTGATATATACCTAATAAACTATTAGTATAATTGTCTGATATACTACTGATACGAGTATTTATATACTTTGAAGAATGTTCTATTAAAAATGTCGATCGGATTTCAAATTGGAATACGGGCTACAGCTTTGCTATTACTATTACGCAACACAAAAAGACCAATTTACCCTCCTTCACTCGATCATCCAAACAGACCCCATGTGACCACCGACAGCACCGCTCTGCCAGCTGGCCCATACCGAAAACACCGTGTTTTTTCCTGTACTACATTACCATCCTCCTTTTCAATGCAACCGCAGCTATACAAACGACACGTGTCGAAACGTGCACGTGGCGGGCTTAAACTCGTTAAAATTATCGAACCAGTCATGCCAGCTATGAGTACATTCACAGAGTGAAATAACTCTACGCGGTTTAATTTTAACACCGCAATTCCAGGCTTTCCCTCGCTGCAACTGATTACGCTTTCACTTTACTCTTTATTATCAAACCTTACTTCTCCTACTTCTCTCCATCTTCTTGCATTTCCATTTTGATTCTCTCTTCCAATCTTCGAATCGAAGAAATCCATGGCTCGATTCGCGCTTCTCTTCGCCCTCTGTGTTCTTCCCGCGCTCGTCGCCGCCAGCCGGCCGGTCAGAACTCCGTTCGTCGTTCGTGGTAAAGTATACTGTGATACTTGCCTTGCCGGCTTCGAGACCTCCGCTACCACCTACATTCACGGTATCTGATCTCTCTCTCTATGCTTCCTTCTTGTTGAGTGTTGAAATCTAGCGATCCGTGCCTGTTATTGCTTTGATTTCGTCATTTTGTGCAAGAATAAGATGCGTAGTGGTCGAGGATGGATTTAGTCTTGGATTCTCGTCGATTACTGGCTTGCTTATTAGTTTAATGGAGTGGATTTAATGTGCTTGAAGTGGATGTGGTGTTTGGATCTTGACTACTGTCTGATGGCATGTGCAATAAGCGAGGATTTCGTTATAGGGATTATTTTACTCCAAATTCGTGTTTTAGTATAAGTGTGTTTCTTTACTTGAGGTATTATCGGGGGTTTAGTTAGTCAATGCCTCTTGCTGGTAGCGAGAAACGGATCTATGTTTTTTTGTTTACGCCATTATCTGTCTTTTTCGTGCATATCTTTTATTTTTTAAGCAATTATGTTCTAGATCCGTGCGCTTGCGTGAGTACTTTTCTATTCATTCTGAATTTAAATACTCACAGCCGGTTATCTCAGCAACTTTTTTCTTCTTCTGATTCCCATTGCTGTTGAATGTCTACATTGATGAACATCTACAAATGCATTATAATGGCTGCAGGTTTCTGTCTCATGTTCCATATGTGATGTGGGATGTGAATAGTTCTATTTTCTCGTGTACTTATTCTGCTTCTTATGTGATTCGATTTGTTTACATAAGATGCGTTCAAAATAACATCAATTGTTAATGATCCTGGTTGCAGTCATTGTCTATGTGCTTTTTTTTCAAGCACAACAACGTGTGGGGTGAGGATTAGTCCTCCAACCTTTAGCTCGAAGATATATATCTTAATCACCTGATAGGTCAAGTTGGCTTCTGTGTTATCTAACAGATCAGCTTAAGTTTGGCTAATTTAATACGGTATTACTAAGCCCTTAGGTTTGACCCATGTAGGTCATTTTCTTTTCTTTTAAATTTTAATATAATGGTCCATTTGTTGGGTCTTGGGCTAATTTCCAAGCCCCATAAAGCCCAAATCCATAAGGGAGGAGAGTGAGGAGGTTGGTCTATCAAAGTACCACTGCTCCTACTTTCATTTCTAATTATTGATGATGTGGTTTAGTATAAGTGAATAATAATACTGAAGTTTTTGGTACTCTTGTAATGTTCAATATTTTTCTAAGAAAAGGATATTGGGTTGTGTTTGTCACTCGAAACATTTTATTTCTGTATCTCCTGGTTCTTCCCATATCACGATTGTCTACTATTGTTTGGTTCTTTGTTGGTAACACACGTATTAGTGAATTATAATCACTATTTGATCAATGGGCAACATAGTTGTAGCACACATTTATCAAGGATGCTAACCAATCTTGATCTATATCTTCATAAAATAATTATTAAATCATCATGGTGTAGTGGGTTGGAATAATGTTTTTTGGTTATTAAATCATCACTAGGTAGGTAGATTAAAGCTCAACATATAGGTTATTAATATAAAAGTAGGAGATGGTGATATATTAGAGAATTTAGTTTTAGCGTTCTGCTTATAATATGTTAATTGTCTAGTTAGTTCATGGATAGAAACTTATCAACAAATTGTTCTAATTCCTCGCAGGTGCCAAGGTCAAAGTAGAATGCAAGAACAGAAACACAATGGAACTTCTCTACAGCCAAGAGGCCACAACAGACTCCTCAGGATCTTATACGCTCTTGGTCAACGAGGACCACGATGACCAAGTTTGTGATGCTGTGCTAGTCAGCAGCCCTCAGAAGGGGTGTTCATCAATATCCGAAGGCCGTGACCGTGCCCGTGTGATCCTCACCCGCTACAACGGTATTGCCTCTAACGACCGTTTTGTCAATGCCATGGGTTTTGCAAGAGATGAAGTCATGTCTGGCTGCAACCAAGTCCTCAGGCAATACCTAGACATTGAAGATTAGATCTCTGGTTTTAGTTCTACAATTACTTAGTTGTATTTCTGGAGGTATAATTACCCTGTTCTACCTTATGCTATATCTGGACATTGGATGGTGTTACTTATTGCATTGTTGAAAGATGATTAATATGGTTTGTTCATTCACTTTATTATTACCAATGCCAGGATGATGCTATCAGTATCAACATCATTATTTATAAGTATAAAATAGTGAAAATAGTCTCAATTTTTATTTATTTTTCGTCAATTAATTTTTGCAATTGATCCTATTAACTCCGATGTTAGGTAAATAACTTTAAAAAATCTTGTTTATCCACCATGTCATAACTTTTATATTAATTGATTGTTGTCATTTCTTTGACTCATACATCTACTTTTATTTTAATAATAAAGTTTAAATGTTATCTTGGTTGGAAAATTAATTTTGGTTTGAACATATATGACCACAAAAACTAAAGTTATGTCACAAAAATTAAAGTTAATGTACGTAAAAGCATATTTACAAAAATGAACCATTTTAGTAAATGAACCAAAATTAATTTACAAGAATTAAAATAGTATTAAACTATAATAATAATAATCACCATCATCACTTTTGTTTAAATAAACCTAAAAATTGATTTTGTTTACGATAGGAGAACAGTAATATAGTAATATTTAACAAAATTATATTATTCATTACAATGTATTTTGTAAATTTTTAAGGCTAAATTACAATAAATAAATAAATATTTATGAACTTTGCCATTGATTTAAAAATACCTCATACTCTTTCAAAATTTTTAATTATACCAACAAATATTCATTAATATTTTGAAAATAAATTAACATGGCAGAAAAAGAGGTGTCAGTATGCAATATCAGTCATCACGTAAATTAATTTTTTTAGTAAAACATTTGGGGGTGGGGGATCGAACTCAACTTGGTTGAAGATGTATGTCAATTACCATTGAACTATGCTAACTTTGGTAAAGTAAATTAATATTATTTAATATACCATTGTATTAATTATTATTTTTTCTTTTGATGAAATAGTAATGGGTTATGTTATAAATGTAGTCTCAAAACTTCGAGACTTTCAATTTTGTAACTTAAAGGGTCTAATATATTTGTAAACTTTCAATTTTGTGTATAATAAATTTCTAAACTTTCAATCTTGGTTTAATAGGTCAAACTTGACCTATTAGAAATTTTAAAAGATTTTCATACACAAAATGAAAAATTTTTAAAAATGTATCGATACAAAATTGAAATAAATTCGTTAATTGAAATAAATAGAGATTTGAATGATCTCACTCATCCAAAAGAACAAAAATTTGATTATCTTTAATTTTATGTCTTGACCAAATTGCTCGACTTTGACCTCAATATTAATTGGAAATATGTAATTATGTTAAAATGGTCAAAACTGACGACTAAAAAAGAATACCGCTTTGGACTCCCATAATTAGGTTTCAATACAAATTTAACTTAATTTTTTTAATAATTAAAACCTTCATTGAATTTAGTTCTTATTTTTTAAACAACATTATAACTTTTATGTCACGTGAATTAATGTAGAATCACGTTTTCCCTACTTAAAAACACAAATTTTATAATTGAATTGAATTGAATTTGAGGTTCATATTGTCCAAATAGTATTAAAAATTGACATGCCAAAATGAGGCCAACTTTTCAATTATTTGGCYCATTTTGACCCAACGCCCTCCCCCACCCACTAGAATATTATGGTCATATTCTTATTATTCTTTTTCCCACGTGTTCACAAACACCTACCCAAAATTTCATTAGCCAAAATAGTTACTTAATTTTTGGAGTTTTCAGATTTTACGCCCCATGTTTTTTATTTCTTATTCCCCTCCTTYAACCAAGAAAAAAAGAAATACAAATAATTAATAACAAATCCGTGGTAACTAGTATATCATATCTATAACSGTAAGAATGAAACACAACAAAAGTTATTTATTATTGACATTCGAATCTCACCCCTATATACTGAATTAAAAAAAATTATATAAATATGTTTAGTAACCCTTTATTATTTAAGATTGAAATTTTAAGTTAAATATTAGATTTTGTTATGTTATATTTATTATGATGTTTTGGGAAAAAAAATTAAAAACATGTATAAGAAACCAGGAACTTGATTTAATTATTTTTAAAATTTTTATACAGTTTAATTTAGAAAAAGTAAAAAACCAAAAATAGAAATGGTTGTTTTTTAAAAGAAAAAAGAAAGTTATGAAACAGTGAGAAACTCACCCACATCTGTAAAATGTTCTTGGATAAAACTAAAATTTAAAAGGGAGCTAATATAAAAGTTAAGAAATTAAAATATTAAAATAAATAAATAAAAAGCATTCATACAAAAAGTGGGGCCGGAGGTAGGCGACTGAAATCTTGAATCTCATTTTTTTTTYAATTTAAAATCATATATAAAAATATAATTTCGTTTACTCCAAGTTAGGTAACTTTATTTTTTCTTGCTAAAAAAAAAGGCTTTTTTTTTTTTGGTTGAGGTTGCTTTTAGCATAGCCAGATTTTGAAAGCGACCCATCCCAACCTCCTTATTTTATTTCAATTCAATTAATAATATTCATTTTCTAAATAATTTTTTATTGGTAAAATTAATAAATTCTTGGGTTTTATTAATAATAATAAATAAAACCTTGGGTTGGTAAGCCGTAAGTCAGGACTTGGCTTGGTCCTTTTGTGCTCTCCAAAGGTTGTTTTGTTCCCATAGTACCCCAACYTTCTCACTAATTATTTACCTTAAAAAAAAAGTTTACATTCTATTTTCATTCTTTAATTTTTATATATTTGAAAATTTTATTTTGTTTTTATTTTAAGTAATGAAAATTATGTTTTGTTGACTATATATATTTTTTTCCTTTCTTAGTTTAAAGGGATGTACAGATTTAATGTTGCGTTCTTTTAACTCTTATTAAGTCGTATCTAAAAAAAACTCTTCAAAATATAATTATGAATAAAATTATTGAATTTTACACAATTTCATATAGTTTTAAGATATTATTTATTCAACCTAGTCATAATTTAGTTTTCAATTAATAAGTTAAAAGTAACRGTCTATATTAGCAAGTCTTTTGTTTTAGTAAACATCCCAACAAATAAATTTAAATAATTTYATTTTAAACATTTCCTATTCTAAATAAAATAAATTATTTAAAATTATTTTTTCGGATTTCAAATAACATGATCTAAAATAATTTATTAAACCTTCTTCATTTTAAGAAAAAGGGTTAAAACTTAAAAGAAAAGAAAAATGTGTCACTTCAAAATTAGAAGAGAAAGAACTTTTTTTTTAATTACCAAAAAGGGAAATTTGATAACAAAACAACAGAAAAATTGAACTAAATGGAACCTRCCACCATCAGAGACCTTCTTGGAGAGATCCTGGAAAAAAACCAGAAGCCTACAAAATTGATTGTCTGTTGTGTACTATAAATACTTGTCAAGTCTCAATTCTCACTGTTCTTATAAGGCGCCACCGATTTTCAATCTCTGCGTCGATTTTTTCTATACTGATTTCTCCTTGTTTTGTTCATAAATCATTATATTTGGCATTTCTTCAAAATTTCCGCCGAAAACGACTCCATTTTTTCACTTCTGTAACCTCAATCGCCTTCTCCATCGTCTTCCCTTAACCCCTTTTCTTAATTTCTCAATTAACTCTAACCCCGTTTGATTTCACTATTTCTCTGCCTCGGTTTCTTCGCAGGTACGGATTTCTAACCTATTTTCTTCTGTCTCAGATCAACATTTTTCTGTATTGCATTCTCTCTTTGTTTGGGTTGCGGTGCTTGTTTTACTACTTCTGGGAGTCTGTTTCTTTGACTTTTATTTCTTTCCTGTGTATCGGCCCTTGTTTTGTTTGTTTTCCTGGAAAGTCTGATTTTTGTTCATGATGATTTTGTTGATATTGGCGTTTGAATTTTCTAGTTGTTGATGATTTTGATGTCAGCATTTGAATGAATTGAAGCAAAAATGTTCATAGGCCTTAAGTGCATTTCTGACCGCAAGTATCATAGAGAATAATGTTCTCTCCTTCACATAACTGATATCGTTTTGTTTAGATTACAAACTTACAGTTCTTGTTTATTGGTATGAATTCGAACTTTCATCCTTACTCGGGATCATTTGTTATTTCCAGAATGGCTGCTGCAGTATTTCACCAATCTCTCGGGACTTTTCTTCCCCACGGACAAACTAATAGTAATTTGACAAAATTGAATTCAAAGTGTTTCAAGTTGGAAGTTGGGGTCTTCAGAAAGAATACTCCTAGATCCGGCAATATGAACATAAGAGCAATTCAAGCGTCTTCTTCTCAAACTTCAGTTTTTGATCCCATTTCATCACCTTCAATCAACACCACGGATGACTCACAGAAGAAACATAGTAAGTTGGTTTAGTTCCAGTGATTATAATTTCGAATTGAGGAAGCTGTGTGTTTGCTGGTCACTCTTTTATTATGGCTCTTCTTATTTGGTGCATATCTCTATAACATCTTTGATGCTAATATTACTCTGCACTTCAGATGAAGCGGCTTTGATCTTGATTCGACATGGAGAATCGTTGTGGAACGAGAAAAACTTATTCACCGGGTGTGTTGATGTGCCACTGACCAAGAAAGGTGTGGAGGAGGCAATTGAAGCTGGCAAGAGAATCAGCAACATTCCTGTCGACATGATCTATACATCTTCTCTCATTCGTGCACAGATGACTGCCATGCTTGCCATGACACAACATCGTCGTAAGAAGGTAATTAGAGACTTTTAAATGATTTGGAGTTGAAAATCTCTATTGATGTAACTTAAAAGTTTTGGCACCCTGCAAACCTTAAAAATGCCTACTACTGAAGGGATTCAAATTATTAGTTAGAGTGGAGAAGTTGTTCTGTTATGTTTGGACATATCTTCATTTTATTCTTCTTGCTGCTTTTACATTTCCTTTTATTAGATACCCTTTTTAACTAAACATTCATGAATGCACATAGGTTCCAGTCATTATTCATAATGAAACCGAGCAGGCAAGGGTCTGGAGTCAAATATTCAGTGAAGAAACAAGAAAACAATCCATTCCAGTTATAGCATCTTGGCGACTGAATGAAAGAATGTAATTATCACCGTCATTGTATTCCATTTTGTTGTTCATTTTAACATCGCCGAACTTTTTTTTCTAAAAGAATGCTGTTTACAGGTATGGGGAACTACAGGGTCTCAATAAGCAGGAGACAGCTGATAGATATGGAAAAGAACAAGTCCACGAATGGCGTCGGAGTTATGACATTCCTCCTCCCAATGGCGAGAGTTTGGAAATGTGTGCGGAGAGAGCTGTTGCTTATTTTAAAGATCAAGTATGATGGCTGCTCTTTTGCTAGTGTCCTTTTTTATTTGATTGCATCTTGTACTTCTTTTGATAATCGAGATTCATCGAGTCAGTTTTCTTCACCTGATTGCTAAAGTTTTCCCTTGCAGATTGTACCCCAGCTGCAATCTGGAAAGAATGTAATGATTGCTGCACATGGAAACTCATTGAGGTCCATAATTATGTATCTAGACAAACTAACTTCTCAAGAGGTAATGGACCATTGCATTATCTTGGTTTTACGATTTTATACGCTGACTTTATGCAGCTATATATATAATAATATGTGAACAATAATATATTTCAGGTTATTAGCTTGGAGCTATCAACTGGAATACCCATGCTCTACATATTCAAAGAAGGAAACTTCATTAGGAGAGGAAGTCCTGCAGGACCTTCCGAGGCGGGTGTTTACGCTTATACCAGGGTACGCAAATTAGCTTTTCTCATTTGTTCTCCAGACCACCACCACGACATTGGTCGACCCTGTCCCACTGTGTTATTACGGGTTTGAGCGAAACAGATATAAATGATGAAAAATACTCTTTATCCAAGTCTAAAAGAGCAGCTCTCTAAGAAATTAAAGTCAAGATACCCGAAAACGATTCCCCTGTTAGACTTTCTATAATCCTTGGAAAGTAAGGAGAGAAACATAATGAGTTCTAACTCTTTTCTGGGCTGGGTGTGGATTCTGTTATAGATTAAGAACTAAAATCTATTACCACTGGAATATTTTGCAGAGATTGGCTCTCTACAGACAGAAGTTAGATGAGATGTTAAATTAAAATATGTTGCAAAAATACAGGTAACCATCAATTCTTACCTCTTTTTTTCCACCTCATTTCAGTTTCATAATTTCATTTGGCTGAGTCATGTGTATTTTTGTTTGTTTTCAGGATCTTGCCTTCCCATTGCACTATCAACTATTAGTGACGTGCTTTTGTGGTAAACTAGACTGCAAGGAAAAAGGAAAAAATTGCTGTTCTTAGAAGAAACAAGTTAGCACGAAAAATATTGTTTTAGTTTCTTTTCTCCTCTTCTTTTCTCCTCGAATTGGAAGTATACGAATAGTTTGTGGATTCTTCTTTGTTTGTTTGTTTTTATTGTTCTTGTTTCGGGATTGAATCTTATGCCAAATCATGTAAGGTGAGGTTGAGTAGCAATCCCCATTTTAGTGTAGGCAAGTGTTCATTAATAATCCTTGAAAAGAAGTGATGTTTCTCAATGGCTATTGTTCTAACATCTTAAAATAGAGTATTTTCACTTCATATTAAGTTCTTAAGAACCAAGCATTTCAAGTCATTACAAAGTCACTCATACTTTTTCATCTTCAGAAATGCTACTAGGCATGGATACATGAAAAGGGGGAGGGGATAAGAAAGTGATGTGATTTTATTAGAACTCTTAATAATGGAGTGGAGCACATAATGAAGATAGCTCAACTTCCTTTGAATTATTCACTCTGACTCAGGTTCTCTTAGAAACCTGCACTTCCTTCCATTGTAGGCAGCACACCATTGAAGTTACTTGCAGTAGATACAATCTCCTGTGTGTGAACTCATAATTTCAATTTACTCCCAGATATCAAACAAAGATATCAAGAGGATGCTCCACATCTCCCACAACCAATGAATAAGACCCTTCTTGTATAACCTTCAATCCCTCTTCATTAGCCTTGCTTAGATGCTCACAAGGGTTCACCAAAAACTCAACATCAGTTCTCTCCCCTGATTTTATCTCCACCTTCTTGAATCCCACCAGAAGTTTCACAGGACTCCCGTTTACGGGTTTTGCAGGCTTCGCAAACAGCAATATCGTATGCTTCCCTGCCATTTCCCCTTCGTTTCTAACTCCCACGGTGACTTTTGCAGCCTTGCTCTCGCAGAACTTCGTGTCCAGGTTAGAGGCGAGTAGGCAACGGACTGAGTCGGAGTTCTTGGCTGGCCGAGTGGCTGCCGTTGGATGGCTTAGGTACATTTTGCTTTCAGTAAGTAATGTGAATTCATAGAGATAGTTAGAGTAGCTGAGACCGTAACCGAATTCGTAGACTTTTGGTCCATTATAGAAGCGGTAGGTACGCCCAGGATAGCCTGTTGAAGGGTCTGCTCTCATTCTCATGTCTGTCATTGGGACTTTGACGAAATCACGTGGATACCAAGTTACTGGCAATCTTCCTCCTGCATACCAACATGGAAAGTTAAGGGTAAATATCAAGTCAATCGAGTTTCACTAACGGTTGGAGATTTCAAGCGTAAACGAGTGCTAGTTAAAAGAAACAAGATTCTAGTGTTAGGTTAACCTGGATTGTGATCTCCAAATATGATCTCTGCAAGGGCAGTTCCTCCGTCTTGCCCTGGATAACCAGCCCACAAGATGCTTCCTATCTTCCCGTTATACTTGGCTGCAGATATATCGACTGGACCTCCACTGAGAATCACCAAAACAACTGGTCTTTTCGCAGCTTTGGCGACTGCAGCAATGAGTTCGTCTTGCTTTCCCGGGAGCCCCAACTGCACACGATCGAAGTCTTCTCTTTCTTGAGTTTGATCCAGCCCCAAAACCAACACTACATAATCCACCTTTCTTGCTATATTGACTGCCTGATCAATTGTAGCCTCGGTACAATTAGCCCAGTTGCAGCCTCTGTGGTAAATAGTGTTCTTAACATATCTCTTCAAACCCTGCAATGGGGTAACAGATTTGCAAGGGGTGCCTGCATAATTTCCTCTAAGCACAATCGGGTCATCGGCATTGTGGCCTATAACAGCAAGTGAACGCGTTTTTGATTTGGAAAGCGGAAGGAGTTTCGCAGCATTCTTTAGAAGAACAATGCCATCTCTTGCAGCTTGGAGAGCCAGACTTTGGTGCTGTTGTGAGCAAACTTGGTCTGAACCAATTTGGCCATAAGGCAGATTGGTTGGGTTGCCATCAAACAAACCTAATCTCATTCTAACAGCGAAGAGGTTGCGAAGTGCTCGGTCTATATGAGCAATTGGTACTTTCTTCTGCTCCACAGCCGATTTCGTGTGTTTCCGCAGATACGAACCACAGTTGACGTCCATTCCTGAAAAAATATTTGTACTTTGGTCACAGATCAAACTGAGAAAGTCCTCACTTTTCTGAAAATGATGACCAAAATGCTTAGAACAGTGATCCAAAACTGAAGCCAAATAAGAGACATGAAACTAATCTTATCTTCAGAGAACTGCTCTCATCAACTTTAGCCCATTTAAATTGTCAATAGATCAAAGTAACAACAATATTTTATAATAAGTTTTTTTTTTCTCTCTATTTCAAATAAAAAATTTTGGCATAGAAAAAGTAGGCTTTTATGGGTTCCCCTCCCACATGTTCAAGCGTGCAGAATGCTTTGTAATTTTCTGTGGGGAAAAAGAGACAGAGAAAAGAAAGTTGAGAAGTGGTCCACTTAGTTGGGCCTCAATGGTCCACTGGGCTAAAGTCCACATTCAGGCAACAAAATCAGCTCACAATATTGGAATTTGAGAGGTTTTGTACGTATATAATATAAAATTTTTAAAAAAGAATCCACAATTTCAGGCATAAAAAGATATTTTGTGCAATAATCATGCAACGCTTTGAAAAACAGCTAAATTTAGATATATATATTATAATAATTACGAGACATCTTTCCTTATGATAAACAGAACAAAGTACAAATAGAAGCCCACAAAAAATAAAAATAAGGGCCCGACCAAAAGATATGTGATATGTCGGCTGAGTAAGAACAATAATTACTATCTAAAACTTGATTTTAAATTACTGATTTACCATATTATAAATAAATGAAATGTTAGTTACATAATTTCTAAAAAAGAAAAAGTTTGTTTGTAAATAAATATAAAAATAAAATGTAAACTTCACAAGTATGGGAAGTGGTACCCGCACTGAGGACATCAGCCACCGCATCTTCCGGAGATTTTGCGTAATTCTGTGCTTCGTGGATGATGGACACCGCATCACAGTCAGATGTGATGTACCTGATTATTCCCCACAAACACACAATTAAGCCAAATAAATAAATCATGGTTTTTGTTTTGACTAAATTGTAAATAGAATAGTATTATCTAGATATTACCATTTTTTTAATTAAAATTCCTTCCTAAAATTTTAAAGTAGTGTGTTTTACATTTACTGCTAAAAATGAACCTTTTTTTTTATTAAATTTTAAAAATTGTAATGTTTATAACCAGAGGAGCCAAAATCAAGAAAACGACCGTCCTTGATAAAAAGGAAAGAAAAGGGAAAAGCACTTAAATCCTAACATTTTTTCATTTTTTGTATCTAGAATATTAAGAACAAGAGGCAAGGGAAAAGCAGTGATTTTAAAAACTCAAAATTATTCTTAGAAATTGCAAATTTGCAATTAGATAATTTGATAAGTGCTAAAATTGTTTATATATTTTTAAAAATAAAATAGTGCATACAAGATTGTATGCAAAATTCTTTTTCTATAATACAATAAAAAAACATTGGAAAGCCCGTCTCATATTCGAATCCCCAATTAATTCTTATTGTGTAAAGTTTAATTCAGATACTGTTTTGCTGTTTTCGTTCATCTTGGTCTAAAGAGACAAAAAAAAAAAAAAAACTCGATCCTTTTATTTCTACACAGTAGCAATTTTAATTCCTATTTACAAAATTTTATACACATAATTAATTGATAAAAATGAAAATAAAAACTAAAACAGATATTTAAATTTTTGTTTTTGATAATACTTCGCTCTTAATATTAGGTATAAGATATTGTCCTTTTACCATTTAAAATTTGACAACTCATTCTATCTTTTAAAAAATATTTCTTTTTTATTTATCTGTTGTCGTTGTTGATAAGGACAAAATCCTAAAGAGTCAAAATATTTTTCAAAATTCTTTTAATACAACATAGGATGAGAATTCCAACTCTAAGTTAATATCCTAAAGATTGAAAGTAAAATCAACCTAACAAAAAGTACGTGTTCAAAAAAAAAAAAGATAGGGAAGTATATATATTTGAAAAGAAAAAAGAAACAATAATGGAGAGGTGGAGCCCGGGAGAGGGAGGGAGAAGCAAGAACATTAAATACAGAGAGGTATGGAGATGGAGATGGAGAT